GTTAAATTCTTATTTAATTCCCAATCTGCTTTTTCATTTCTTCACCAAATTCCACACACTAAAATTTAAAGAGAGACAAAAAAAACCAATCTTGTTTACTGGAAACCATTAACGAATCTCAGAAGAAGAAAGAAAAAAAGAGCTCCTTTTACAGATTCTTCAAGCTCAATCCCAGTTTTTCAGCTATGGCGGTTTTCAAAACCTTAGCTTTATTGTTCGTTTTATGCTCCATGACTACTGCAGATGGAAATCCATCGTTTTCCTTTAATGGGTTTGTGAAATCTCCGAACGTTGCTCTGTTTCGAGATTCCAAGCTCGTTAATGGCGGTTCATCGATTCAATTGACTGACTCAGTGAGTCGAAGCGAAGGACGAGTCATTTATAAGAAACCCATCAAGCTGTTCCAAGGTAAAGGAAGAAACTTCTCAGGATCATTCTCGACTAATTTCTCGTTTTCGATGTATAAAGAGATTGGTAGTGTTCTGGGTTTTGTAATGGTACCAAGTGGTTTGGATCTTAGGTCGTTTAGTAGAAAAGACAATAGTTCCTCTGGTCTAGGGTTCTTATTGCAATACAAGATTGTTGCTGTTGAGTTTGGTATCTCTAAGAGAGGGAATCGTGTAGGGATCTTAGTTGGTAGACCTCGAGATGCTAAGATTAGAAAGTTATCATCTTTTGGTGAACATTTCAATGGAGAGAAGAAATTGAATTGTTGGATTGATTATGAGGCTAGCTCGAAAAGAATCGAGGTTCGTTTGAGTGTATCTACTGCCTTAAAGCCGGTCGATCCATTCGTCTCTTACTCGGTAGACTTGGCTAAGCTTTGGAAAGATGGGGAATTCATGGTGGGTTTAACTTCTTCAAATGGAAACTCTTCGAAGTCGCATTATCTCCATTCGTGGAGCTTTAAACTGAGACATCTCCCGATGAGGATTCACTCGCAGCCGCTTGATCCAAACGAAGTTTCCAAGACGGTTAAGGATGAGGGGAAGACGCTAGAAGTTAAGGGGAAAAGCAAATGTATATGGAAAATGCTTGGTGCGTTGGTTTTGGGTGCGGTTTGTGGAACTTTAGGAGCGATGTTAGCGTTATACCTTTGGACAATATGTGGTACTAGACGATCAATGGTGATAGTTCCCGAGGAATGTGCTAACGAAAAACCGGATATCGTTGTTGATGAAGAAGGCAAGAAGTAGTAGTTTGGTGTGTGTGTTTTTTTAGAATTTTGTATTTGTCTTTGTGTTTGTAATGTAAATTCTCTTGAGTCTTTTCTTCTTCTTATCATTCTTCTGTTTGTTTTTTGTTTTTTGGTTAGTTGCAGGTTTGGTGAGATGAGTTTTTCTTTCACATGTAGAATCTTACAATATCTATTAATTAAACCGTGATTCAATGCAATTG